TATTTTTTCTTCCCCTTCTCTTCGTCACGGCTGTGCTGTTCCAGCTTCAAGCCTTACTGACATCAGACCTATCTTCCCCGCCCCTTTTCTCATTAACTGTCATCATTGCGACCGACTCCTCCTCCTCCTCCTCCTCGTGTTGACAGCTTAAGCTCTCCCGACCTTGCGATAATCCATTCCCCTTCCCCCCCCCCGACCTTGCGATAATCCATTCCCCTTCCCCCCCATTTTTTTTTTTTTTTTTTTTTTTTTTTTTTTTTTTTTTTTTTTTTTTTTTTTTTTTCCCCCCCCCCCCGAACCCCCGAAGTTATGGTGCGCATCCCCTACATCGCCATTTTGGGGGAGATAGAGGAGTAATCAACTTCTCCTTTTCGACTTCTGTCTCATTCGCTTTCCTTGCGCCCACTTCATCTACGTATTCCGCATTCAGCGTTTCGACATCCCTTGGTCTACCCACCTATTCATCGTTGCGTTGTTTTTAAGAGCTCGGAAAGGTTCGCGCGGCTACCAGTCTCACCGGATAAATCTTGTGGTTTGATCGACAAGGCAAAGACGCTGCTAGGACAACGTGGATTGAACCGTCTACGAGGGGGCTGACCTCCCCGAGGAGGTCATCCCAGTTACACAGAGTGGCCGAAATGAGTCCAGGACGCGGCGCAAGACGGATCGATATTCCCTTTACCATGGTGGTCCCACGCCAAGATGGAGTTGAGGTCCCCAAAACCAAAGAATCTGGATTACAAACCCGAAGATCGCAGCGCCTTGGGCGACTGCGACCGCGATGGCGCAACAATCGGTCACTGTTTGCCGGAGTGAGCTGGATAGTACTGGTGTTGTGGATGTCGTGTTTATCGCCGAGCTACGCCGCGTTGTTGAATTTCGACAATTGCCTGAATGCTGCTGTCATCCAATCCAATCCGAAACAACTCCAGTTCGTCCCGCTTGACGTGTCGGTCGCTTTCGACTTGCATGACTCTCTCAATCCCCTCAATATCACGGTCTATGGGAACGTCTCTGGTACAGCCAATGGGGAAACATATCCAAGCCCGGATAGTCCCGACTGGTCCAATCCGAATGATACGGTGGGGAAGATCGTGGATTACGATGCTGCAAGCAATAAACTAAGCACTCTCTTGTCGGAGATCAACGTGCTCAGTTGGAATCCATATAATCATGCATCGAAATTCTGTGACTCTGTCACTCAGGGGGACTGTCCGTTGGGCCCCGTGTTCTACACCAATGCGTGAGTTCTCTACCTTCAATCTCCTGACCACAGCTAATCCGCGTTGACTGAAATAGGAGCGATCTTTCGGCCCTGCGAGCTTTTTCGGTCCAACATGACATGCAATCCGCGTACCATTTCTCGACCTTGTCAGCACGCCTGACAATCAAGTCTGCCGATGCTGCTGCCACACGGATCGGTTGTATCAGTGTGGATATCACCCCTGACCTTGGAACATCTCTTCGAAACACAATCACATATATCCCGTTGGTTATTCTCTTGCTGGTCGGGATTGCTACTGTCACTGCAGCGATTTACAGCCCATGGGGAACCACCGACCCGTTTCACTGGACCAGCAACTATGGACGCGACGAGGATGTCCTTCGTCTAGTGACCCCGGGCTTTGGGGATTGTCTCAACTACATACAGTTCGCTGTGCTTACTGGAGCCTTGTCATTGGACTACCCTGGATACTACCAACCTGTGGTTAGTCAAGTCGCCTGGTCGGCCCTTATGTTCAATCAAAGCCTCTTGGACCCCGGAAATGAGCGGAATCCTGTAGCTGATGGCGTCTATACTGTCAATGCTACCTACGGCTTGGACAGGTTGAATCAATATGTGGGATTGCCAACATCACGCGACATCTGGCCTGGAATGATGGTCTGGATGCTTGTGATTGTCGTCTCAATCACAGTCCTGATCCAAGTAGCCTTCGGGCTTCGCACGCTCTATCGTACGATTGCCCACGTGCCGGAGGAAGACCTTCGGTCCAAGAACATGCCCTTCACCATTGGGAACGTCATCCGGATCGTGTTCAACTATTTGCTGCTGCCACTCATGTCTTTTTCGTTCTTCCAGCTCGTGATTGCCGGCCAGTCTCCGGCCTACTGTGTCGCATTAGCGGTGGTAGTGATCTTGATTCTGGCATCCTTCTCCATTTGGACCACTCGCTTGATCGCGACCACGCGCCCGAAATCGTACCTGTTTGATGACCTATCGACGGTCCTCCTGTATGGCCCATTGTACAACACTTTCTGCGACGACGCGGCCGCCTTCGCTCTGGTTCCGATCTTCCTTTCATTCGCCCGCGGTATCGCTATTGGAGCGCTGCAGCCGTCAGGAATCGCTCAAATTGTGCTTCTCGCCATCTGCGAGGTGGTCTCACTACTGACCTTGGTGGCGTTTCGACCATTCGCATCACCCACTTCCATGAACCTCTATCATGCCTGCTTCTCCATCATCCGTTTTCTCACAATCTTACTCAGCATTGTTTTCGTCCCCTCACTAGGTGTTTCGCAGGCTGCACGGGGCTGGATCGGATACATTATCCTTTTTCTGCACGCACTAGTGCTTGTGTTCGGCTTCTTCCTCAATGCTCTTCAGACCTTGATTGAGGTTATCGCACGACTTGCTGGAGCGGGAGGCAATGAAGGTGGGGTGACACGAGGTGGTCTGGTCAAAGTATTCGGTATGCGACAGCTGTCACGTCGTGTTCCCCGACAAAGTGTCGGCACACGCCAGAGCATGGGATCTGAGGCTGCGATGTTGGCACATACCGATGACCGCCTCTCTTCCCAATTCGATGGATCCAGACCTCGAAGTCTTTCAGGAAGTTCTGCTATGCTTCTGCATCGGGCGGGTGCGAGCGAAGGCCGCGCGAGTGCCTTCTTTGAGTCAGGGAGCGCACAGGGTGGAGCACACAGTCGTGCCAATAGCAGCGGTTTCTTCACGCCATCAACGCCCGGTGGATTCGCTGGACCAGGCTATCAGACGACGGGCAGCAATTCGCCCAAAAGCGGGCCTGTCTTCGCTGTGCATCCCCATGACCCTTACTACCGACCGCCTAGGCCTCGCAAGAAGATCATCGAGATAGGTGTATCAAGGGAGAAGTCCCGCGCAAGAAAACGAGCGGCGAGCTATGGAGATGTGGATGACGATATTATGGAAGGCCCGTCTATCTCTGGAAGGAATACCCCTGTTCCTGCGTACCTTCCAGCACCCAAGGACGATCTTGACTTGGAAGATCCTCGTCAATCTAGAACAGACTATGCAGTACGAGAGGTTGATTTCTATTACCGAGTGAGGGGCCCTCCGCTATCACAGTCGGGCACGCGCAAATTGAAGACAGGCCCCGCTGACCCTACGGGCCCTGTTTCATCCGCGACTGGCTTCTTTCGAAACCTGTTCAGAGGGAAGACCAAGGAGAAAGGAAAAGGCTTTGAAGTCGTCCGGAGTGCTAGGGCACCACCGCCGGGTCTATTCCCAGAGGGCGAGGATTTCCATGAACCCTATACCGATGAACCCGAGGACCCGGAAGCCGCAGACCATGCCCGTCAAGATTCGGATAGTGACCGTGACTACGATGATTCCGAAGGCGAGCCTCATGAACGGACTCCAGAGATCGCAATCACCCTACCGAACGTTGATACAGGGGGTGCTATCGAGCTCCCTAGTCGTGTAGGCTCTCACTCTAGCTCTCAACCACCATCGACCGAGCGACAGATTATTCAGCAAGAAGGCGCTACTACCGGCCCCTCAGCGGAAGAGGCGCCAGTGTCGGGTGAACTTCTTCCTGTTGTCGCCTCGGAAGAAACGGCCCCTTCCAATCAACCTGAAGAAAGTCCTAATGCTCACTCTCACAATCACCTTCACCCCTCAGCTTCCGTGACTGGCCGGTTGCCGTTCAGTGCAGCCAGTTCTCCCTCACGAGATCGTAACCTCTCAATTGCCTCGACAACCGCTTCGACTACGTCCAGCCGTCGGCATGGGAACTCGGAGAACTTGCGCATCGAGCGTCCATCTAGCATGGGCTATGTTGCCCAGTTTCGTACACAGGATAACATCCATGAAGCCAGCCCGGATGAGCCATCATTTGCAGGCAGTGCTGCGGAACTGGTGACTGAAGCACCTCACCACGAGGGAGACCACTAAAGCGAGAATTGGGAGCAGTCTGTTTGCCCTATCCTCTGCACCTCCTGCTCCCCCTTTCACGAATCTCTTTCTTATTCTCTGTTACCTTCCAAAATCATCATGCGTCGGAGTTTGTGATATACGCTTGGGTCTCCTCACATATGCATCAGTATCTTACGGCAATCTGCTGGTTAGCGTTTTTCTGCTTTCCTCGCCACCTTTTTTTTTTCCACATGCGTCCCGGATTTCTGCCCTTCCATCCAGTCGTGAGCTTACATTGCGAGCAGTATTGGTGAAATTGTGCTAGCCGACGGCCCTGATTTAGGTCATGATCTGTTCCTTGCAAGCATGTGGGTCGCATCTTGTATATCTTGGAGTCCTTCCTCATTTTCCCTTCCATGTACGGAATCTTCGGTAATAGCTGAGTTTAACTATAGTGAGCGAAATTTGGAGGATGGGCTTGTGTGATAATACTGCTGGATTACCTATTGAGTATACTTGAACATACTAGTACCTTATACACCATGACTGTTGTCCGGTCCATCCATGATTGGGTTAGTTAGAGGCAGATCTGCCAGAAAGATTAAGCGATAAGGGAGGGACAGTTTCCTTGGCAGAATCAGGCCATGTGCATTTGGTTCCAAGTTGTTTCGATGGCCTTTCTACATTTTGAACACGAGCGTACCCACAGCCACCATCTGTCGTCTGATCACGATGGCTGTGGGAGAGTAGAAGAGAAAAGTACTGTACATGTAACAGTGTACTCCGTAGATGAAAAGAAAAGTGAGAAAACCAAGTAGCAACTAACTACTCCGTACAGGAGGTAATCATCAAAACAGTGTTGTGACCGCCTTTAGTTGATTGCCCCGCGGCGAAACATCGGGTGGGACCCGAACCAGACCTTCGAAGTTACGGCATCTCCACCTTATGATTTACCTAGTAGTTATCCCTCTCTCTCTCTCTCTCTCTCTCCCTGTGGTTTAAATTCCCCCCATCATTTACTCCCTTTCCTATCCCCTTCCCTCTCTTATTTGAACATTTGAATGCCTTAGGACTACTAGTCACTTGCTGTGGCTGTGGATCGGCTGCACGCTTTGTCTGGCTCAGGCTTCTTCTTCTTCTTCTTCTCTCGGATTCCTGTTCGTTCCGAACAGACGGTCTGTCACGAGACCTTACTGCATGCGCTCTTATCATTAAGTTAATCCTTGACGCCCGAAGTCCGACCCCCCCCCCCCCCCCCCCCCCCCCCAAGTTGCCCTGTGTGTTGTTTCGCACAAAGTCAAAGTCAAAGGCCCTTGGCTCTGTGTGACTTGTATCAATTCATCTCCTTGCTCAATAATCCTCTTTTTAAGGTTCTCGATTTACACTCTGGCACACAAGCATATCCACGGTTGTCTACCGCTGTTGATCATCTCCCCGTCCGGCTGCCCTCCCCATCCTGGCATCACCGCGCCACCCAGTCAATGACGGCCCGTCCTCCAAACGGCGGAGACTAGTCTCCTCTTCGGTCTCAGGGACCCAGACACCGAAGTCTTTACCATCGTCGACCTCTCCCTCGTACTTCAGGTTCATGTCGTCGTTGTCAAATTCGGCCAGTCCTTCATCCTCCGCTTCCTCCTCCACCGCCGCCTTCCCCGCCACTCGGCCCGCCACTGCTCTCAGGCCCCATGCGAGTTCGGAAATCTTACAGGCCACCGAGGCTGCACGCGATCAACGCTCCGAGCGAAGACGGTCCACCGTCACAGGGTCAGATCGGAAGAGAAGGATAGTCAGTTTGGAGGGGGACGTCTGGCCCCGTGGCCTCCGATCCCAGTCGTGGACAACAGAAGCCGGTCCGAGTAGCCAAGCAGGAACAATGGATAGCAGGTCGTTGCCTCAACGATCGTCTCAGTCACAACATCCTGCCATGATGATGCCTGGCTCTTCCTTTGCTACCCCAATCGATCTGTCCTCCTCACCGCCGGGTGCGCGCCCGAATGATCCTCGGCGAAGTTCATGGTCCCGAACCCAGGATAACTACGTGGAATATGTTCGACCGCGGTGGCAGCCTGATGCGGAGGTCACCAACTGTCCGATTTGTGGGACCGCGTTCAGTTTCTGGTACAGGAAGCATCACTGCCGGAAATGTGGCCGGGTCGTTTGCGCGTCATGCTCACCCCATCGGATCACTATTCCACGGCAGTTTATTGTGCGCGATCCCACCCGCTCCCCCGCAGCCGCTTTGGTTCATCCCCGTGCTGCTTCGGCCTTCCATTCCGGAGGGGACGATGCGGTTCACTCGCCAACAACATTAAATCCAGCCCTCGGCGGGGGCGAGGAAGTGAGACTCTGCAACCCCTGTGTGCCAGACCCAAATCCCGAACCGCCTCGTGGGTTCACAACAGTTCAAAATCCGGGAAGACCAGGCACCGCCGCTGCGACAGGCTGGGGAGAAGGATCCTCGTACTTTCCTCCACCCAGTTCTCGGCATCGTTCTTACCATTCGCTGTCCTCTCCAACCCGGCCAAGTCTATACAATAGTTTACCAGTGAGTTACAGTCGAGCGCCCGACGGTGAGAAGATCAAGTGTGGTTAACACAATTATGCGCAGCTCCAAACTGAACCTCTCGGGTCGCGACCAACCCGGCAGACTGTTGGCGTCAGTGATTATTCAAGTTTAGGTGGATTCGGAGGCCCTTTTGCCCCGCGAGTCCCCGGAATGAATTACGCTGCATTGGCAAGCCCCCGCTTCACATCTGGGTCGGTGAGCTCATCCACTCGGCCTCTCCCTTTTCCGACCGCTGGCAGCGCCAGCTCGTTGCCCGCGATCCCTCACGCTCATCGGCCGTCGCATACACGCCCGCCGCATGTCCGTGAGCAGGACCTATGTCCGATCTGTGACTGTGAGCTTCCGCTTCTGGGATCGAATGGGGGCGAGGATGCACGGGAAGCACACATTCGGACATGTATTGAAACTCATGGTCGGCCCGGGCGCTCCAGTCCCCAGAGCGGCAGCCCCGTCCAGCCCCATCTTGCAGTCCGGCTAGTCACCTTCAAAGCCACGGAGAAAGACTGCGTTGGACACGATGGTGGGCTGCAGGAGTGCACGATTTGCATGGAAGAGTACGAAGTGGGTCAGCCGCTCGTGCGGCTGGAGTGTCTGTGCAAGTTTCATAAAAGATGTATAGTGGAGTGGTTCGAGCGTAAGAAGGAGTGCCCAGTGCATAAAGTCTCCTGAGTATTGGACTTGGTTCTCTGGAGGTCACTCTCGCTTTTGGGTGGAGCAGAGTCTATCTGCGGCTGGTCTTCCGCATCTTATATATCGGATTATGTCTTACTCTCTGCTCTTCATATGGGAGGGTGGATCAACTGCTTCTGTGTCGTTTGAGCCGGTGTTCTTTGCTATACTGTTGCAATCTTCATCCTTCTTATTATGGTGCAACTGCTGTCTCTGTTGGTGTTCAGGATTCGTTGCTATCTTGCAACCTAGATCGGAATACAATCATTTCCTGTGTGTAGTAGAAGAGTAACACTATCATAGAAGAGAGGAAGCCGGAGAAACGATATATCTGCACTGAGTCACTTGGTTGTGGTCCATTGATCAATTATCCTTCTGGGGAGAAAGTGTTGTGAAGCTATGCGGATTTGGGCGATGAATCGAAGAGTGACGGACTGCCCAGTGGCTTCAGTGGCTTCCCCTCAGCTCCTCTTTCGCTTCCTTCATTCTCTCTTTGGTCGTCCTCCTTGTTCTTACAACTCCCACTCGTTTGCCTTCTTTTGCTTCTTTTCTTTCTGTGATCCTAACCACTTTCCTATGAGCCAAAACTGACCAGATCATAATTCACTTTGAGTCCGGGCCAAGCCACCGACACCACCGCATTCCTCAAGTTAAGTTACCATCGGCCATCGGCTCCCGACCGTCCGATTCTCCGACTTGCGCGACTCCAACTCCGCCCTGCCTTGCCTGGCTCCTTACATTCTTTCTTGCTTGCTTGCTTGCTTTCTTTTCTCTCGTGTGGCCCCAGACTGTTGCTCGGGTAAGCCTCAAAAATCAAGATGCAATCGTGGCAGACCAGCCTAATTTCCCCCGTTGATTCCGGGAGAAACGCGACCGGGATGACCTCAACTGGCCATCCGCCCTTGGCCCACGGCGGGCGATGATGACTGACTCCCCGGCGAATAGAGCCTGGCTGACCATGATGTGATATCCACTCCGCAGTCTCCGCGCTCCCCGATGGAGATCGATCCACGCCTGCATGCAGATGGCAGAGACGGCGGACGTCCGACCGAGCGCGCCGAAACCCGCCCGCCGCCCTATCTACCACCCCCTTCGTCCAGACATGGCGACAACCCGCTTGTCGCTTCCAGAGATTATCCCGATTCGACTCCACATCTGTCCCCTACCGACCGGCTGCATTCCGTGCTGGCAGCACCTCGAGGCCCGGGACCTCTTTCGAGCCCCCAGGTGACCCAACCGGGTAGCCAACACCGGTCGGATTCGACATCGGGCATCGACGCCTTTTCCAACCCCTCCGTCGTCGACCCCAGCGACCCGTACGCGGAGCTGAAGCGGCCCCGAGCCTGCGAAGCGTGCAGGCAGCTGAAAGTGCGATGCGAGCCGGACATCAGCCATGCCAATGGCGCCTGCAAACGATGCGCGAAAGCCGGGAGGACCTGCATCGTGACGGTTCCCAGTCGCAAACGACAGAAGAAGACGGATAACCGCGTCGCGGAGCTGGAGAGGAAGATTGACGCGCTCACCGCGAGCCTTCAGGCCTCTCACGATCGTGATCCCGTGCTGCAGCCGGTGCAGATGCCTCCACCGCGCGAGGAGCCGGCAGCGAGGCATTGGCTGGCCCCGACTCATGCCGCATCCCATGAGCCCTCGCCTTTGCCGGTGGGATCGCCGCGGAGCATGGTGGGGAGAAAACGGCGTCATAGTGGGGAGGACAAAGAGGCCACGCCCGCAACCTCTCGGGTGTCTAGTCCGAGCGAAGAACAATCCATCTATAACAAAGCGATCCGACAATGGCGTGCTCTGGGTTACCCGTCAGACTCGACGGCCAAAGAGGGGGCCAACGAAGTGGCTGATATAATTGACCGGGGCCTTGTGAGCGCCGATATAGCGGCACAAGCATTTGCGCGATTCAACGAAGAGATGGCCCTCTTAATCCCGATGGTGGTCTTCCCTCACGGGACGAAGATGGAGGACGTCCGGCAGAAGAAGCCGGTGCTATTCCATGCAGTTATCGCTGTTGCCGTAGGGACGATTCAACCACAGGCTCAGATCCCTCTCGTCAATGATTTCTATAAGGTCATCGCAGAACGGGTTGTCGTCAAAGGGGAGAAATCCCTTGAGCTAGTCCAGGCGCTCTTGGTCTGCTGTAACTGGTACACGCCTCCCGACAACTTCGAAGAGCTGAAATTCTATCAGTTGACGCATATGGCCGTCACCCTGGCTATGGATGTGGGTCTGTATCGGAAATCAATGCCGCGAGGGAAGCAGATGAATCTGCTCAAGGACATTATAGCGAGGAAGTCGTCTGAGGTCCTGGATCCGGACTCTCCGGAGACGAGGCGGACCTGGTTGGCATGCTATTTCGTTGCAGTTCAGTATGTACTCACCCCCAGCTTCTCATTCTCCCAGGAGTAGCTAGCTAACCTATGTTCTAGGGTTGCCGTGTCTCTTCGACGAGTCAATCTTGTGCGATGGCTTCCATACATGGATGAATGCATTGAGATCCTAGAGAAATCCCCAGATGCATTGCCTTCCGATAAAACGATGGTCCGGTGGGCCAAGCTAGCACAAATCATCGAAGAGATATACGTTCAATTCGCGAGCGATGACATTCCCTCGGTTGTGTCCTTTTCGGACCCGAAGTCCCTCTACACTCTCAAGGCACTCGAGAAGCAGTTGGAGCAGTGGAAGAGGGAAACGTTACCGGAGCATTCTTCTCGTAAGCAGTCACCCACACCTAGTTCATGTTCTTGTGCTCACCAGGGGGATCAGCTATCATTCAACAAGCATACTGCATTGTCAACCTCTACCTGCACGAAAACGCCATGCATGTTGATTATAGCAAGGACGAGGCGCGGACCACCGGGGATGATGTTGCTGGTCCTACTAGCGCAACACACATCAGTGCCCTCAGCTCCTGTCTCACTGCTATCCACGAAGCCCTCGATACAATCTGTGCGATTGACACTAAAAAGCTAGTGTCTGCACCGACGGTCACTCTTGCGCGCACGTCTTTCGCCGTCGTCGCGCTAATCAAACTCTACGCCATGGTCTTCACGCCGGAGACCCGCCTGGATCAAGTGATGGATGCGGGCAGCCTCAAGATGGAATACTACCTCGACAAAGTCATTCGCCATTATGCGGTCGCCGGAGAGCTCCCCGGCG